ATGACAGCCAGGGATATACAGAGACACACTATCTTGAAAAACAAAAAAAAAGATCTCATTTTATATATATATATATATATATATATATATATATATATATATGTGTGTGTGTGTGTGTGTGTGTGTGTGTGTGTGTGTGTGTGTGTGTTGTGTGTGTGTGTGTGTGTGTGTGTATACCCAATGAGTGTGTGAGCATGGAGGGCCACAGTGCATATGTGGATGTCAGATGTCAACTCTGGATTCGTTCTCTTTCTACCTTCATGTGGGCTTCAGGTCTTGATGCTTGCACAGCGAGCACCTTTCCACTGAGCCATCTCTCCAGCTCCCTTTCTTCATTTCTTACAACCTTCTCCTCAGAACTTAACTCAGGAGGATAAGTAACATACCTGCAGTGTTTAATGGTAACCCTGATGAACACTGTGAGAGAACGGTAGTGCTCCTGCTAGCTGGCAGATGAATTAAAGGGTTGCTGAGTTGCTCATAGGCAAATGGCCAGCCAAGTAGAGAAGCAACCCATGCTTTACCTTGAGCTCTCCTGGTTTCTTTTCTTCAGAGGCTTTGCAGCATGTGATCTCCTGCAGCTTCTGTTCCAGGGGCTCCAGGCACTTCTGAAGTTTCTCCTGAGGGTTGGGAGAAAGCAGGAGAGGTGACATTTGGAGTTAGTTGGTACATCCATTACTCAAGAGGTTAACCTACTTATTCCTCTTGCAGTTGATAAAGATTTTTCTTTTTAGTCACGTGAATGTGTAAATGTCTGCTTGCGTGTATGTGCGTAAGTGTATGCAACTGTCCAGGGAAGCCAGACGAGCACGTAAGATCCCCTGGAACTGGCATCTGGGAACCAAACTCAGGTGATCTGCCAGACTGGTTCACGCTCTTACTTGCTAAGCCATCTCTATAGACCTGATTATTCTTCCCTTGAAGTACTTAGTAGGTTAAACCCAGGGCCTCCAGCATGCTAGGCAAGTGCTGTACCACTGAGGTCCATTCTCCATTCCTCAGTCATTTAATATCTGCCCTCGCATCACTTCTTGATCCAACTCCCTTCCTTGTCTAGAGCTGGAGATGTCACGTCGACTTTTATAGATTGCCCCTTTCCCTGTCATTAGTCAGGTTTGTGGCTCACCTGACTTTCCTCCCCTGAACCTAGTACTAGTAGTCTGACTGTCATCGACTGTGTCCGTTCCCATTCTATTTTCTTATGAACAACTGCCTATCACATTTGAAGTTACCTGGGTTTTTGTTTGTTTGTTCTGGGGGCGCTGGGGAATCTATGAACAGTGTATATAATAAAAACAGTCTCTAGTACCAGGCTACACTCTCCTCCTCCCAGAAGCTACCTTTTGCTCCTTTATATCACTTAACCTGTGCTTCTATTCAAATCTAACCACTTAGAAACAAAGTAAAACTTGACTGTAAATAATCTTAAATATTTTTCAAGATTTTGTTAAGCAGAATGAAGGAATGAAAATCCTAGGCAGTACCATCTTTGATTTTTATTACTAAAATAGTGACCCCATGCCCTCACTAGTGATTTAAATGTTAAATGTTATTACCCTTTATACAGGAAGATGCTGACTGGTTCAGCACAGTTTGCTGGGTATCAGTCTAAAGTGATGTTAGCTACCTCCAACAAATGTGAAAAACAAGAACAACCTAAGTAAAAAGGCATAAATGAAGAAATCAAAATCTTTTTTAGTTTTTCTAAAATAATTTTCACATCTTCATGTGGTTTCACTCTTTTATTTAAAGTCTGATTTATTCCAAGACTGTACATACCAAACTCGAAGACTCAATATTATTGCAGCAAGTTACAGAAATTTTGGGGTACTCCTCACTGTTCTTGTGGAGGACAACTGACCAGATGGTACAGAATACCCATGTATATAGTTCTGAGGGGAATACCCAGAGAGTATGTATTCTCAGCTGCTTCTCCCTCCCCCACACTGGCATTATGGGCCTGGCTGCCTACCTTGTATTCCTGTGTAGCATCATCCATCGGCACAACGGTATGGGGCCGGTGGGTATGAGAAATTGCACATATCAGACAGACAGCCTCCTGGTCTTCATAGCAGAAAAGGCTAAGGGGTTCATGGTGCTGGGAGCAGAGGCTTTCATCTCTGATCTTCCGCTTGACGGTCTGGAGCTGCTTGGCAATTTCCACCATACTGCCTAGCTGTCGGTTAGGCCGGAGACTCCGGTATCGGGATGTCTTCCGACAGACGGGGCAAGGGAAGTCTCGCTCTAGGTCCTCCCACCAGCGGGTAATGCACGCTTTGCAGAAGTTGTGCCCACATTCAATGATAACTGGCTCCTTCAGATACTCCAGGCACACAGAACAGCTTGCCTCCACCTGCAGGTTCTCCAGAGCAGCAGCTGTGGAAGCTGCAGAGGCTCCAGCCTCTAACAGACTTGTCTCTGCCATTATAACTTGGAGGCAGGGAGAGAGAAAAAGAAAAGTGTTTGTTAGTTGGAGGGTTACTTTGTTTCCTGACATTAGCTCCCAGTAAGGCATCCGTCTAGATGTAGTCCCTTCTTGGTATTCTCCCATCTCCACCTTCTCACCTGCTGGTCTATGTACAGTGTTTGTGATTTCTACCCATCACTGTTTTTTGTGTCAGCAAAGATCAGCAGTGCCCAGAATCCCAGAATCTCTTTACCTCTGCTTTCTCATTACCAGCAATGAAAAGGAGCCTGATGTGGTGACTCAAACCCATATCCTTAGCATTTTTGAGGTCAAGGCAGGGGGACTGTCAGCTGAAGGCCAACTTGGGGTACCCAATGAGTTCTAGATTAGCTTGAATTACAAAGATCTTATTTCTAGAGGGAGGGAACCATGGGAAATGAGATATGTCACATAAGCCATGACATAAGCCAAAGTATTAAGATTTTAGCTGGGCATGGTGGCTCACTGTAAGGCAGGAGAATCACTACAAGGATGAGGCTAGCCTGGGCTGTAGAGTAAGATCTTGTTAAACAAAATATTTTTCAGTTTATTTTTTTAAATGGCTATTGGCCCTAGAACTCAATACTATTTTTAAAGATTTTCATACATAAGCACTGCGTCGATATCAAAGAACCCCAAACTACTTCTTATAACATCATAGAAGCTTTATTGTAGAGTCTAACCTTGACTGTCTGCTGTTCCTCTTAATGAGTTACACTAAAGTAACACACTTTTTCAGGGAAACATGAGATAGTTCTTCCATTCACCAAACTTGCCCAGAGGAAGAATGTCCTCTTCTTGGAGAAGATGTTACTGTCACTCACCTCATTTCTATTTGTGTGCAGCTGGAATGGCTGCAAAGCAACAAATACATATCAGCTCTAAGAGAGTACCATGGAGGAGGGCAACAGCTTTTTGAAGAGAGAGCTGGCAAGTCCATTCTAAACATTAGGTGGTGACTGTAGTCTTTCAAAGTCACTACAGACAACTAATTCCTTAGATATTCAATGGAGTGATTAGGAAGGAAATTAGCTAGGCATGGTTAATACCAGGTGACACATGCTTATAATCCCAGTACTGAGGAGGCAAAGGCAGGAGCCTCGGGAGCTCAAGGCCAGCCTTAATTATACAACAAGTTTGAGGTCAGCCTAAATTAAATGTAACCACTCGGCAAGTGAATGGGGAGAGACAACCAAAGCTCTCTTAGATACATAGCTGGTCCACACTCCATCCTTAAAATGTTAATTCGTACTTTATCTGGTCTCATAATCCCTACTTCCGTTCTGCCCCATAAGGGGCCCCCAAAATGGATGGAAATCTGATAGGTCTACCCCTTGACAGAAAAGTGGCCATGTAATGAATTGTGGCAATAGCGATTATTTCTGTATACTGGTGGTACAAATAGAAGAGTTTTAAGTAGGAGTTGGTAACTTATCCCCCTTTTAATGGAGAAAAGAAATTGATCCAGATAAGTTCAGTTGGATGATTTCTTCTCTGCCCATTAGAGTCAAGTTTTGACTAGTAACTCAGCCTCCTCCCCAATCTTACAGATATTAAGTGTCCTCCTCACCTAAAATGAATCATATTCACACTTAAGAGACCGGCATGTATCTAACTAGCAAATAGATGGTCTGAGAGAGAAATGGGGCTCAAGGCTAGTGAAGAACGGAGAGGATTTGGAGCTGGAGTGGTGTGGTGGTGATATAGAGGGCAGCCATAATATGGCCTTGTGCTCCTCTGGCTTGGTCCTTCCTCTATCTCAGTGGAAGTAATAACGTCTGAGACGTCCACGTTTTGCCTTTTATCACTGTTGGGTACCAACTCAGGAGCCTCTCTTAAGCACTGGCCACAACTCTGTCCCACCCGGTCTCCATCTTCTCCTGCCACATCGGGAGCATGAGGACCAGAGTGAGAGGGGGGCATACGTCGTGGTTGGCAGGGAGGAACGAATGCGTGTCTAAAGTGGGGGAGAGGTGTGACGTGAAGGTGGGATGCCCGCTGCCATGTCGCAGCCCAGACCCGCGGTGACTGCGTCAGTTTCACCCGGGGAGACCAAAGGCAGCGGGACAGGGGAACGGCGGGGTAGCCAAGCAACGCCGGACGCGCTGACGTCGCCGGGGCGGCAAACGTCCTCCGGGCCCGAGGCGGGCGGAGGCAGCTGTGGTTGCGCGCCGGGCGGCTGACGCGCTCGCCGGGCGTAGGGCCGCGGCAGGAGGAGCCGGCCGGCCGGAGCCAGCTCCGGGATCCTTGTGGCGGCGGCGCAGCACCTACCTTCCCGGCTCCGGGTCCCGGAGTGCCGGGCGCGGAGCCGCCGGAGCACTGCCTCCCTCCTTCCTCCTCCCCTCACCCCCGCCCCGCGGCGCGACACACAATACTCGCCGGAAGCGGAAGCCGCGCTGCGGCTATGGAAGACAGCTGCTGCACGGCGCCGAGTCCGCGGTACCCGGGCCTAGTCGTGCCTGCGGCCGGCGGCGGTTGAGAACCGGAGGCGAGGGCCTGCGCGGCTAGTACCGGGCGAGAGGGAACCCGCCGCGCCAGGTGGCTGAGGTGCTGGCGCCCAGGTGACCGGAGCGGTCCCCGGGAGACGGAGGGCCGCGCATGCGCGTGGTGAGACTCCGAAACCCATGGCTGGAGGCGCGTCGCGGCGGGCAGAGCTACCCTGTCGGCCCGCCCTGAGAGGCTCAAGCTGGTCCCCCGGTGGGGCTGGGAACCGCAGAGGCCTCGGCGGCTACGGGTTGTGGGCCTTGGGCCAGACTTCCCCACTCTCCGGGTCAATTCTGGGGGAGGGTGGCTGTTTAAGGCGGCGGTGGATTACGTGGCTGACCTGAGAGCCTTTACTGGCACGTCACTTCCGACTGGCTGAGGTTTTTAGCATTTTAACCATCCGGCGGTAGTAGGTGAGTTATCTTGGCTGCAGAACTGAGGTGCGCCTTATCCTCTCCTCTGGTTGGGTGATGTGTTAGTCAGGGTTCCCTAGAGCTACGGACCTTACGGAATGTTCCTCTCTATATATATAATTAATTGCGATGACTTACAGGCTGTAGTCCGACTAATTCAACAATGGGCAGCTGTGGATGGTGGGTGAGTCCAAGAATCGAGTAGTTGCTCAGTCCCGTGAGGCTAGTTGTTTGGGCTCATCTTCTGTGGAAGCAGGTTCCAGCAGATGTGCTGGCAAGTAAGTGCAAGCAGGCGAAGGAGAATCTTCCTTCTTCCTTTGTCCTTATGTAGATCCAGCAGAAGGTGTGGCCCCAGATTAAGGTGTGTACCGCCATGACTGGATCTGGGATTTGCTCTGTCCCAGGCTGACCTTCAATTCGGAGATCTCCCTTACTCAGCCTCTTGGGATTAGTGCCTTGCCTGGATCCTAAACTTTGCATGGCCACAAGATCAAGATCTCCCATGTCAAGATCCAGATCAGAAACTTGTGTCTTCCAGCCTCAAGATCTGGATTACAGGTGTAATCCAGGTCCTCCAATTGTGGATTGTAGTTCCTCCAGATAGAGTCAAGTTGACAACCAGGAATAGCCACCACACCTGACATTCATGAAATGCTTTCCCTGGCTGGAGCTGGAGTGTGGAAAACCGGTCCGGTCCAGTGCTTTGCTGCTCTTGCGTCTGTCCTGCATTTCGGGGCAGACCAAATCTAGTGCTCAGTAAACACTGGGTGAGAACCGAAGCCTGTTTCTTTCTCTTTGAAAACCTTGGCTTAAGTTTCCAGGAGAGCAGATGGAGCTTGTGGATGGACTCCAGGCTTACGCTATGGTCTCCTTGTGTTTTATGTTTTTTTTTTTTTTTTTTTTTTTTTTGGTTTTTCAAGACAGGGTTTCTCTGTGTAGCCCTGGCTGTCCTGCAACTCACTCTATAGACCAGGCTGGCCTGGAACTCAAGAAATCCGCCTGCCTCTGCCTCCCAAGTGCTGAGATTAAAGAAAGGTGTGCGCCACCACAGCCCGGCTGGTGTTCTTTTGATAAGAAGAGAAGGAATCTGGTGGATGTATAGTCAGGTGTGGGGGAAGGGGTTGCCTCTGCGGGCCCATGCTGAGGCATCCCTTCCTCCTGAGGGACCAGCCACAGTATAGTATAGAATAGAATAGAATGGAGTTTATTTAGACCATGGGGAGGGGAGTTGAGAGGGTAGTAGAGACAGAGACAGAGACAGGTAGAGAGAAGGGGACGGGGGAGAAAGAGAAAAGAAAAAAATAGAGGCAGGCCATGAGCACATGGAGAGGGGGGAGGGGAATGGGGAGAGAGGGGAGAGAGGGGGAAGAGGCGGAAGGACAGAGTGAGAGCAAGAAGGCAAGAGAGTGCCGGAGGGGCAAGCAGCCCCTTTTTGTAGTGAGTCAGGCACACCTGGCTATTGCCAAGTAACCGTGGGGCAGAGCCTAGACAAAATGCCAACTCTTCTTGTTTTTTGGAAGTGTCATAAGTCTGTGATGATGAAGATTTTTGTGGAAGGGAATGAGTTGATGTGGAGGGCGTGTCTGACGGTACAGATGTAATGGACTCTGGAGCAGTTCGTGCTAGGATGCGTATTCATACTACCGGCAGCTTGTCCCTTTGTTACGAGGCAGACTTTTTCTGGGGGAGATAAACACACGTCTGCTCACCTCATTGAACTGACACAGACCAAAGTATGAGTACCACTGAAGTCTGATGTGGTGAAGTGTGGTCCAAAACCATTTTCATGTCAGAAAACAGGCAGTGTCTGAGGTTAAAGATTTAGGACCACAAATATCAAATACAACAAATTGACTTCAAGATAATTGTATTTACTGTTTTTTGTTCTGTTGTTTTGTTTTTGCTCTGCTTTCATGGTAGCCAGTGATTTTAAAAATAAATTTGATAATTATTAATTTTTCCTCCACTTCATTTTATCATATTTGCCCTTTAGGGATTATAAACTGCAGCAGTTGTTATAGTTAGTAAACACCTTATTTCTAACATAAGGTAGCTTGAAATTAGTCTCTTGTCACTGTTCCGTAAAAATATCCCAGTGTGACCTTTCCATTGTGTACCTTTCTGTTATGAGGACTTGTCCCCTCCTCTTTTATTTAGTCTTGTATCTTGAGAATTTTCTCTGGTCATTTGCCCTGTCCCTTTCTTTCTTTTGAGCGCCCTCTGAGGTGTCTGGAGGAAAGGGCAAATAGGTTTGAATTACCATTGTATCTGGGGCTTCCAAAAGTTCTGTACTTATTGTAGCAGTTCATAAATAATTGTAACTAACACTCCAATCAACTCAATATAGGTTCTCTGTTGCGCCTTGGGCCCTTCCATGAGTGATGCTCACACCTGGTCTCTGGGAGCTCTTTTTCTGTCTTGGGAAGCTGAATGGTGGGGATTTCAGTCTACTTGAGTAGCTCTCGGAAAGGTTAAAGAGTTAGCGTTGTCTCAGTTATTAGTTTTTTCTTGTCATCAGGATAGCAACAGTGTTTTGACAAGTTTTGTGCATTGCCAGGGAAACTCCAAAATAAAAAACAAAACTACAGTATGTCATACTATATGGAATTGTTATATTTTCAGTGAAGGGCTTCATTTCATAGAAATGCTGTCCCCCTGAGTTTGAATGTGTGTCTTTACATCTGAAACTTGGTGGCAACGTGGACATCTTAAAGTGCTGCCAGCCTTGACTAATTCAGTATCTTCAGGTTTCACTTTGATGATCTGGACATCGCCTTTCTTTCAAGATTTCTGCCTTTTAAAATTATTCTGCTCCTTGGTCTTTGACTAAACAAGCTTTTACTTCTGAGCTAGTTCCATCTTGGAGTTTGAACTAGACATCCTTCAAATGAAGGGGTTTCTGGTGTGCTTTTTCAGCT